CCCCCCCTTTTTGTTTGCTTCCTGGCCGGCAGGCGGGGCGCGTGTGTCCGCAGCGCCCCCTGTGGCAGCTGCCGTTTCCGGTGCCGGCGAAGCCCGTTCGCTGCACGCCGAGCTGGAGGCGCAGCAGCAGCAGCAGCAGCATCCCCAGTTGGGTGCCAGGACCTGGGCGCCCTTTCCCTGTGGTTTTTAACGCCTGGCTGTGTCTCCGCATCCGAAAGCCACGGAGTTGGGATGAAGGCTGCACGGTGCCCGGAGCGTCGGATGGCACCGGCGATGTCGCAGATCCAACCAGGAGCTGCCCACGGTGGAACCTCTCATCAGAGGACCGGACACATTGTTTTCAATGTGGCCAAGATCGAATGAACAGAGTAACACCAACCATTTACCCGTTGCCCAGGTTTGACACGTTTCACGTTTCAGAAGGAAAATATTAATATAACTTGAAGGCGTCATCCATTTCTTGGGCCTTCCTAGCAGGAACACCTGTGGTGAAGCTCAAAATGCGCGGAGAAAATCCCAGCGTCTCTTCATTCCTTGGTTCTGCAAACTTTTAATACAGGTTTTCTTTTACGAAGAGACAAACCGTTCCAAATTTGCTGATGGTTTCCTGTAAGTGCCTATACAGAAATACGCTGCTTAGTCGTAACACAGTCCAGAATTGATCTGTTTACCTGAGGACAACAAAAAATAGATCGAGAAAACATTTGATTTTTTTAAGTAGTTGGAAACCTTTCCATTATTTGGTTACCAATATGATGAGTGTCTCACCTATAAAATTCATGTTTGTTCGCTTACACCTGTAAACAATTGTCTGACCTCCTTAAGTGGTATATGAAAGGTTGCCGTGTTTTGAATCCATCTATTTAAAGATATCACAATACAGCATCTTCAGATTCGGTTGACCTAAGTGCTAAACATCTAGAAGGGCTGTGTCTACCACATTTCTCCTAGTCATGAACCCACTCCAACCTAGTTTTTCCCCACACATTCCACTAACCCTGCTCTTGACAAGGTTACCAGTGATGGTGGTCATTTTTCCGTCCAGGAGACCGATCAGCATTTGACATAACCCCTCACTGCATCCTCTGGAAAATGCTTCGGGACATAATGATGCTGTCCAGCTGCTCTGTCTCAGTTTGTTGCTGGTGCCTCTGTTTTTCCAACCTTTGCTTAGCCCCGTGCTCTAGGACTCAGGCTTAGCCTCTTGGGTGTCTACTCTCACTCCTTAGATCAGCAGTTCTCAACCTGTGGGTTGAGACCCCTTTGGGGGTCAAACGAACCTTTCACAGGGGTCGCCTAAGACCATCGGAAAACACATACTTGCGATGGTCTTAGGAACCGAGACATGGCTCCTCTGTCTGTCTCCAGGAGGGTCTGCCCACATACAGATACGCCCACCTACGAGTACCCAGTGTGAAGACCCATGCTACACTATGCTTCAAGACAAAATTTCACTTGTCATTATAAATAAATATTTCACAATATAGAATGACATCTTGTTTCTGTGATGAATCACTATGCTTTCATGATGTTCAATGTGTAACAATGAAAATACACCCTGCCTGTCAGATATATATATGACAGTTCATCACAGTAACAAAATGACACTGATGAAGTAGCAACGAAAATAATTGTATGGTTGGGGGTGTCACCACCACATGAGCTGTATGAAAGGGTCGCGGCATGAGGAAGGTTGAGAACCACTGCCTTAGATGATCTCATCCAGTCTCAGCTTTAAATAACATGCCTTATAGATGTCCCTCAGAGGAAATGACGCATGCGGTTGTAAAGGATGGCAAGTTCCGGTTCTGTGCCTTAGCAGCTCCGTGCAGGGATGTCATCTTCAGGGCTTGGTGTGCCAGCATGGGGTCTAGTCCCTCACTCTTTTTCCTTTGTGGTTTGTTTGCTCACTTGTGTGTGTGGCAGGCCGGCCCCTCTCCCCAACCTGCAGGTTTAGTGTTGTCCTCTGTAGCACATTTTTTTTTGGGGGGGTGGTCAGTTGGACTCTGATTGGGGCCTGCCCTGTAGCCCTCTCTGTTCACGTGTTGCTCCATGTGGTCATGTTGCCCTCAAGGTTTGGTGAGCCGTGGTGGGGTCTACACTCACACTCCCATTTCTGTAGAGACATAAATGATACCCTCCCCTTGGGTGGGTTAGTGCCCTGATCCCCTCCAACATTTGTTGCTCTCTGATTTGGGCTATTTTCAAGGGTGTTAGGTGGTACCTCGCAGTTGTTTTAATTTGCATTTCTCTGATGTCTAATGATGGGAGCATTTTCTCATATGTTTATTGGCCATTTGATTACTCCCTTATGAAACTTCT